ACATGCATTCATGGGACATTTTTAGACTTATTGGAGAGATCCATAGAAGATAAAAGGCCATAAATCTGCCTTCCTTATCCTTACCAGAAAGATCCTTATATCACCAGAAATAAATGTTCAGCACACACCCTCTTTCCTCAGTGATTTACTTTTTGCAGTTCTACAACTAAATCAAATTATCTTTTCTTTCTCTCTCGCTGCAGATAAAGATAAATCTCTGATATCAAAAACACTGAGACACTTTAAGTCCCAAATCAAACCTCACAGGATGTGACAGACTCCAGATCAGCTGCTTCAGGTTGTTTTTAGCTGCTCGTCCTCATCTTGTCGTTCATTTGGTTAAAAGCTTTGGACTCAGTCAGTCGTGAGTAAAAAACAGTGGAGGCTGACTTTAATCTGAGCTTTTACTGTGATGAGAATTTAACTTCCTGTTTCACCTCTGTGTCCTTTCACTCTCAGATTGTCATAAACAAACAGATTTTAGGACTCTTGTTGTGTGCTACGCAGTTTTCAATCCATTATAATTCCAGTTGACAGAAACCGATAAGTGTCTTATGTTTGTAGTTTTGGTGATTATTTCTTCATAGAGTGGTAACACAGTGTTAATACGTATGGACTTTACCTATATAGCAGCTTTCCGACCACGCAAAGTGCTTTTACACTACATGCCACATTCACACACCGATGACACATCGGGAGCAATTTGGGGTTTGGTATCTCGCTCACACCTCAACATGCAGCGGGGGAACCAATTTTCTGATTAGTGGACCTGCTCTAACGTTGAGCCACAGCCCCGAATTACAGTGGTGTTAGTAGTCAGTGTTGGGACCACTGGGACATTTAAATTCCAAATGAAATTAACAATGCCTTTTTAACCCTTAAAGATTACATTGTACCCTATTTAATTAAAACATGACTTCATCAGTGAATCTATCAGATCTGAAGCATCAGGTTGTTGTTGTGTTCACAGTCAGTCTGTCGTCTCCTCTGGACAAATGGGACGAGGTGAACCTGGACGTGGAGGACGGGGGACGCAGGAGATACGAGAAGAGATGCACCTCCCACCACTCCTCCAGTGAACTGCTATGGTAAATATAAAACGCCCTGATGTCCTTTCTGCTCTCCACAGGATGAACCCTCCAGACTCTATGATCTTTACTCGAGCATATGTTTAGCTCCACTGCTGCTGAGACTCTCAAGGCCGGGATATAGTATTCTTCTGACCCCTTTAGAGTCAATCAGTCATAAGGGTGTTGTTTGTTCAGACTCTTGAGGGCGCTAACAGAGCTTTAACTCTAACAACAGGTTTGGATTTTGTTCCTGCAGGTCTGCAGAGTTTAAAACTGATCCTCTAACAAAGAACTCCTTCGACATCCACAGCTTCGATGATCTCGACTTCATATCTTCAGCACAGGTCAGCTGCTGCTCAGTCCCTTCAGGAAGTCGCCGTGTTGTGGTCGCAACAGTTAACGCAAATCTAAGCAATCCTCGTGAATTCTGCATTTTTGACCAATCACTGCAACTTTCCTGCTAATTCAACCAATCGTTGTAGTTTCCTGCGCAGAACGTTGTGCCACACGTCACCAAACTCACCTCCTTGTTTCTAGTTGTAAAGACGTGTGCGACACAATAGTCCCACATCGACCCTCCAAACAGTGCAAATTTATTTATATATTTATTTATTTAATAATTATTAACAAAAAAACAATGAAGAAAAAATTGTTGGGAAAAGTAATCCTGTGAAATCCAGGAGGGACTGAGTGCTGATATTACTATACATACTGTTATACTCTTCACAGACACTATTCAAAGTGAAACTGAACAGATGAGAAATAAAAACTGTCCTGAACCAGATACAGTGTGTAACGGAGCGTCCCCTGTAGATACTAGTGCTTAGTTCAGGTGTCTTTTTTTAAGGATGACTTTGACTTTGTTCTCAAGTTTTTGGTGTCTGTTGGTTTGTCGTCACTGTCTCACTGACCTCTGTGTGTGTGTGTGTGTGTGTGTGTTCAGGACTGCGGGGCGTCCAGGCAGCGCAGGCGGACTCGTTCCCTGTTGGCCAGGAAGGAGTCTCTGGAGGACGAGTTTGTCAGAGCGAAGGCTGCTGTTGAGGTATTTAACACATTTACAGACATCACACAGACTCACATGAACCACTGACCCAAAAATCTGCTTTCTTCCAATTGGGGACACGGCCTTTGTTCCCAGTTAACTGGTCTTTAGTCTGACATAAGTCCCTGAAGGTCTTGCTTTGCTCTTTCTGTAAAAGTCCTCTCTGGTTTCCCTGCGGGTCTGATGGCGTTGTTCTGTCAGAGTGCTCCAGCAGCAGCTCTCAGTGTGAAATATTAGATGTGAGCTGATATTATCAGATTGTTGCTGATCAGAGATCCATCCTGTACTTCCTGTCATCTGATTCTTCTGTTAGAACTCTGTGACTCCGCATCCAGATTAATGACGCTGTGCTCGGATCAGCAGACTCTGGATCTGCTTTCATTTTTGAATGTGGAGAGACATTAGACAGACATTGACTCCACATTACAGATTCCAGTCTGTAGTCTCAGCAGCTTGTGTCCTCGCCTCAAAACAAAAACTCAGAATTTAGTTTCTGTTGGTTTCTGTGACAATGACAGAAAAATAATCCACAAAACAAGAATGTTTTCATAATGGTTCAGGACAGTCCAGTACGGTTCAGGTTGGTTCAGGTTGGTTCAGGACAGTCCAGTACGGTTCAGGTTGGGTCAGAATGGTTCAGGTTGGTTCAGGTTGGTTCAGGATTTGATTCAGTCTGGACTAACAGCTCAGTGATTGAAGTGCAGATTTTCTCAGTCACAGATTTAATTTGAGGCTCTTGTGTCGATGAGTTTGTGTCGTTCTGCTCTTCAATCCCATCAGCTCGGCTCAGTGAACCAATCACAGCGTCTCCTCTGATTGAACAGCCGCTGATTAAAAGCTCTTCTTCATCACAGCTCGCAGGTTCTGAATTTAGCTGCAGGTGTTTTAATCCAAACAGACACCAAGGTCAGCTCCGTCTGCGGCGTTCAGTTTAAATAAAGGTCATTGTATTATTGTACAGCAGTGGATTCAGACAGCTGACTGATGAAAGGAGAAACCTGAATGCAGATGCTTCTACACTATTAGGCAATTAACATCCCATCAGGCTCTGAGGCATCTATACAACGCTGAGCAGGACCGGTTGATTCTGGTTTGGTATCAAGTTGGAAAAGAGTTTGAAAGAGGGTTGTCCAAAAACCAGCACCTGGATTTTAGAAAAGCAGCTTTACAGGAAACTGAGTGTGATCAGGCAGAAGTGAAGTAAAGGTGAAGAGGGCTAACAGTGTTTTCCTCCTGCTGAGTATTTAATGATGGACTCAGTCGGAGTCCTGATCCAGTATTTATATGGTCCTACATTATACAGCTGCAGTCTGGGCTCAGAGGAGAGTCTGACATCCAACTCTTCTTAAGAAATAATTTTCCAGGAGTTTTACTTGACAGTTCAGGACAGCACTTCACATGGTGGTTATCATTAGCTCGCTTTGGTGCCACGTTTGGCTAGCTGATTTTTCTGATTTCTGAACTGACTACAGATTTCAGTACATTAATTTGGCCAGGACAAGTGTCCTGGTTCCTGCAGTTCAGTTTGTGATGGAAACCAAAGGTGGACAGCTGTGCTATGAGCTACAAGAAGCCTGTGGGCTTAGAAACTAAAGGAGACTACAACTCCCAGGGTGCATTTCACTAACTAACAGCCAAGCACAGAGCTTCACATTATTCTGCTGCTGAAGCTAAAAGCTGATCAAACATTCAGCTGTTAAAATCTTTCATGCATTTTCATGTGGAGTTTGAGAGACCGGGGGAGGCTCTGATGAAGGACACTGTCCTGCTGCATTGTGTGAAATGTAGGCTCCAGAGTGTTTGTTGTTGTGTTTCAGTCGGACACAGAATTCTGGGACAAGATGCAGGCCGAGTGGGAGGAACTGGCTCGGAGGAACTGGCTGGAGGAGTCTGAGGACCAGGGTCCGATCCCGCCTACTGTGTCACAGGCAGAGAAGGTGAGTCCACCTGTCCCCGTAACCTTTGACCCCTCAGCCCTTTAAAAATCTCTGTGTCACCAGTCTCAACCCGGTCACTGTTCACTCTCCTTGCTTTACCCAGGATGCTTTGGGAGCTGACCTGTGGCAGACAAGTATCCCAGCATACATTTCCCAACCAGTGGCTGTAGTGGAGAATATGAGCAAAGCTACTATTGTGTCATTAAATGTTTCAGGGTTGCAACTATCAATTATTTTCGTTATCAATTAATCAGTTGATCAAAATGTTGATCAGTGTTTCCCAAAGCCCGAGGGGACGTCCTCAAATGTCCACAACAAAAAGATATTCAGTCATTGAACTGCACACGTACAATTAGCTGATAATGATCCTGATCAGCCAGATCAGTAATCAATACTCACATTATTAAAGCATCAATAAAACTAATAACGTCAGACAACCTTATCAGACTTTAATCAGTCAATATCATCTATACAGATACAGTGTATTCGGATCAATATCATCCATAAAGATACAGTGTATTCTGATCAATATTATCCATAAAGATACAGTGT